GATGACTGACGAAGAGAAGTAAACAGGTTTTTAGACCACATTAATAAACCATGAAATGGCTGTTCTTTGTCTAAAATCTCATCATGACTTACTCAAGCTCTGATTTCAAAATTAACAGTTTGGAAAGACTAACCTTAATTTAACAAATACACTCTCTTAACATACGCATTAAAAGTGTAAAGCTCCATGGGAATAGAAGCTGTAATGCAAAAGCGGAAACATATTTATAAATCTTTAGGCACCCGATAAGCATCTTATTTATAAGGCAACACTCCTACATGTCGACAACAATCCACAAGCCAGACAATACATGAACAATTTGTAAGATATAATGTGAAAGGAACAGTGAAATTTGCCTTTCCATTGTCATTTAAAATCATCTATTTGTGCATTTTAAGTAGTATTTATAAAAGAATTTTAACGTTAAGTCTTTCCCAATGTTTTTTAAATAGGAGGAAAGTCCCAGAATTGTCATATATTTAAAATTGAAATACTGCTAAAAATTTAAGAAGCACTTGCAAAAACTGAAACACAAAGACATAAGAACAAAAGCCCCCACAATAGTAAGACAGTTAGCAGTGGTTTCTTATAAGTATTTTATAAAATAAATACTTTCTGCTTGGCGATTTTGAGACAAATCAATACACCATAAAGTACTCTTTGTAGCTCTTACGTCTTCATTTTGTGCCTTAACAAAAGCTGACAATCATTCATAATGAAGTCTTTTCATAGTTACATAGCTTTCCTGTCTCTTCTAAAGATCGAGTAAACCTCTGGGTACTCAATAAAACCAACCAATTAATTCACTACCATAAAAACCTGAGAAGCTATTCTAAAATATTTATATCAAAGACCAGTGAAGTCAAAATAAATGACTAGTCTACCTGGTATACTAAGTTCAAATTTTTCTTCAAATTTTGAAGAAATATAGGTTCTTTCAAAGCAAACTATAAAAGATGTACCACAACATTAAATTCTCAAAACTGCCATTCAAATTTACCCAAAATAAGAAATGATACATTTTCAGAAATTACTGTGAGGGAACATCAATACAGAGCAGAGAGCTTTAGGCTCACACAGAACTCAGTTTAAATTCTTGTTTCATCTCTCACTAACTTTATGATATTAGGAAAGTTAACATAACCTTTCTGAGAATTAATTTCAACTATCAAAGGGAAACAAAGGCAAACTGCAGGCTGTTGTGAGCACTGAATTAGAAAACATGTACTGTAATAATAGTCTGTTTAGCCCAGTATATAGACCATAATAAGTACTCAGTAGGTGACTGTATTTACTAAGAAATGTTTAATAACCCACATTCAGTGTAATTTAATATCCAAATTCCAACTGATGTTATAAATCATCAGAATGAAAGATACAAAATTTCAAGAATAGATCTTGCCGAAGCCGGTTTGGCTCAGTGGTAGAGCGTCGGCCTGCGGACTGAAAGGTCCCAGGTTCGATTCCGGTCAAGGGCATGTACATTGGTTGTGGGCACATCACCGGTGGGGAGTGTGCAGGAGGCAGCTAGTTGATGTTTCTCTCTCATAGACGTTTCTATAATAGCTCTCTATCCCTCTCTCCTCCTCTCTGTAAAAAATCAATAAAATATATATTAAAAAAAAAAAAAGAATAGATCTTTCTTTAATGCACTTAACCTGATTATTCTTTGCATTAGTGATTTTCAAGCTGCAGGTAATGATCCATTAATGGGATTAAAATCACCTAGTGGGTCTCAACCAGCATTTCTATATAAAATAGAATAAAACATATAAGAATGCATAGCACAGAGGAAGTCAAGCATTGATTAATGAATTTAAAAAAATTAAACACATATGAAATGTATCTATATTCTGGATAGCAAAGTAAAACACATCTCTTACTGTGAAAAAAAAAAAAAGGTTTAAAAACTAGTGCTTTACAATGTAAGAAGGATAAAAATAATTAGCTGATATCGAATGCTTAGTTTCTACCAGACACTGTGCTAAGCACATACACCATACACATGTCATTCTCCCCCAAATCCTCTAAGGTAGATCCTGTAACTTCCCCGATTTTACTAACTCAGAAACTGAGACTCAGCGAGGTGAAGTCACTTGCCCAGGATGCAGCGCTAGTAACTGGTAAATCCAGGCTTCCAATTTAGTCACCTGACTCCAGAACTTGTACATTTAACCACTTCCTAAGTATCAGGTTGTAAAATGTGACTTTTCCTTATCTAAAAGTTACTCAAAAGCTAGTCGTCTTCGTGGTGCCCAGTTCAAGAGTGGTTTTCTGCAGGTGCCGCGTGTCTTGGAAAAAGGCAGTGTGATTTGGAGGCGAGAGCACTGGGCGTGAGGTCCAGCATTGTGACTTCAGTGGCAAGGAGTTGGCAAGTCATTTAATCTCGCCGTGTCTGGATTTCCTCGCCTACAAAACGGGAATGATAATATCTGCCCTGATCCCCACAGGCCATTGTGAGGAAGTATATGTACATATAACAAGTGTAATGTCCCTCTGTGCTACTCGGTCATACGAGATGATCGCTAATACCACCCAAGGGGCCCCATTCCTCAAGACACACTTCAAATAGAATTAAAAAAAAAAAAAAAAAAAAGGGGGAAGGTCATCAGGCTTTTATAAACTGTACATGGAAACACTCCACCCAGTTCCTGGCACAAAAAAGGCCTTTGGTAAAGGCTGGTTAAACTACAAGAAGTGAACCAGTTTGGTTTGTACGCGCGTTTTATCCATCTGTATTTTACTTTTCATGAGTTTGTCCTTTCTACAACAATTTCTCAAATATCTACTGTATACCAGATTAGAAATGTGGGCTGGGGGAAAAAAAAAAAGACTAACAGACCATCCTTTGCCCTGCAGAATCTTATATTAATTTCAATTAACTTTTCCAAAATTGTGTAAGAGAACATTGTAAACTACAGCTTCCTCATCTAGAAACAATCCTAATTTAGGCTCCTTATAGTGCTTTGTCATTTAGAAAGAACTACAAGCATACCTCAGAGATGGGGTAGGTTTGGCTCCAGATCACAGCCTCTTTTTGCAGGTGGAGGGGAGGGCCTTGCTTTCAATTTGAAGGAAGGAAGGAACGAAGGAAGGGAGGGAGGGAGGGAGGGAGGGAGGGAGGGAGGGAGGGAGGGAGGGAGGGAGGGAGGGAGGGAGGAAGGGAGGAAGGAAGGAAGGAAGGAAGGAAGGAAGGAAGGAAGGAAGGAAGGAAGGAAGGGAGGAAGGGAGGGAGGGAGGGAGGGAGCAACACCTGGGAAGTGCAATAAAGTCACGCTCCATAACATGAGGTGGACCTGTGTACAGTAGCTTTTTTGTTTCTCACACCAAGTGCCTAAGTATGTTAAATCTGTCTTATCTTCCAAATCCAGTGCCAAGGCCTGCTAAGTCTTTAGAGAGAAAGTTTCTCCATGCCAAAGGTGACTGTAAAAACAAGGTCCCGAAGACAATACATTGGAAGTTACACTGGAAAGGGGTGGAAGTACAATGACTGTTCTCCCTTCACCCTTCTGAGTTAAAGCAATCTATCATGCAACCTTATCACCTACAGCAGATGGATTTTTCAAAATGTTTCTTTAAAAAAAAACACACCTGCCTTTGATTTTTTTTTTTCTTACAGGCAATTTTCTGTTGAATGTCTGGAGCTAGGGTCCAGTTTTCTCACAGAATAAAGGAGGTAGCAGCAAAGGTGTCCTTCCTTTGTTGACTTTAAAAATTACTCAAAACTGATTGTTTCTATTCAGATTCCTGAGCCACATACAATGCTAAATTAATTATTAGCCTTTACATCTATAATTTAACTATTATAGGTGATTTTTACAGGGAAACAATGATTTAATGGCAACTTAAGGAACTGAACATTTGCTACAGGATATTAACTAAGAATCTTTTACTAAAACTGCCTTCTCCTTTGTGTTCTAACTACTCCCTCTCTATCACCACCACCCCCAACATATATTCTCTCTCTCCCTCTCTCTCTCTCTCTCTCTCTCTCTCTCTCTCTCTCTCTCTCTCTCTCTCACACACACACACACACACACACACATACCACATACACACACACTCCCTTACCTACACCAGATCAGTTTTCTGTGCTATTATTTATAAAACCATGTTTAAATTTCACAACACATGGTCATAGTTACTAGGTTTTGTCTCCCCCCCTTCACCTCCACCCTCTCCGCATCCACGGAATCCATGGGTCTATATAAATAAATTCTCTCTTAAAAGCCACAATCCAGGTGGTGATCTCCATGTCTCCATGCTGAGACTACCTAATATCAAATGTGAAGCCAGCCCTCCTGTTCCCCGATAAGCCCTGAGTCAAAGCCGCACCCCACCCACCGCACCCATAGGGTTAGGGGGTGCCATCTCGCCACCACAGACCTCTCTGCAAGAAAGGGCGTGACAGAGCCGGGACCCCGCCGCCCGACCCCCTGCGGGGAGACAAGGAAGACCCATCGTACACCCCGGCGGGGCGCAGTCCCCGGGCTCCAGCCCTCGGGAAACAGGGAAAACCTTTGTCTCGCCTCCGCCATCCGCGGGGGCCCCCCAGAGCTGGGGTAACCAGAGTTGGTGCGGATGCCCTGGCGGAGGGCAGACAAAGCATCAGCTCCAGCCCCAGCTCCAGGCGGGGACAGTGACCTGGTCCAGCTCTGACGCCGCGGCTCCCGGGATGGACGCGGGGGACCCCGGCCAGGAGCCCCGGCGCGGGGAACACCGAGGGGGCTAGAGGGTCCCACGCTCTCCGCAAGTTCTCGGGGCGCCGCCCGCCCGCCCGCAGGCTCCCGGAGTGCGAACCCCAGGGGCGCCCGCCGCGCGCGGGGTCCCGGGGAGGGGGCGCCGCGCACGCCCGGACGCCGCCCCGAAGGCAAAGGCCGGTCCCCCCAAGTCCCCGCGAGGTCAAGGGCGGGACCCCGGGCGCCGCGGGGCCGGTCCCGGGGCGGCGATCGGAGCGGGAGCCCGCTGCCCATTGTCTGGCGGCGGCGGAGGGAGCTCACCTGCGGTCCCCGCCGGCGCCCGGCTGGCGGCGCGGGGGGCGCGCGGCGACGAGCGGTCCCCGCGGGCGGCGGACGCGGTGTCCAGCCCGCGGCCCCGGCCCCGGCAGCCTCGGCAGCAGCCCCGGCAGCGCCCCCGCCTCTCAGGCGGCCGCGGCCTCCATTGCGCTCCCCGCCGCCGCCGCCGCGCGGCACTGCGCGTCCGGCCCCGCGCGGTCACATGCTCCGCCCGCGCCTCGGCGCTCGGACCCGCGCCGCCGCCCCGCCCGGCCTCGCCCCCCCGGACCCGCTGGGCGCCCCCCGCGAGGCACCGGGCGCTGGGCCACCGGGAAGGGCGTGGGCTGGGTCGCTGCCGGGGACGCCCCGAGGCGCGCCCGCACGCGTGGGGTCTGTGGTTGTCCGGAGGGGTTCCCTGGAGGCTTCCGAGGGGCAACCGGGACCGTTAGCCGCCAGCCCACAGGATGCAGACCTGGCCCTCCGTACCTGGAGGAGCTGGAGACCTGGAGCCCAGAGGGAGTGCGCTCCGCTGAGCACAGCCCCGACCATGGGAAACGGCATTGGGACTCCTGGGAGGGGACCAAAGAGAAAAGCTCAGCATCTCTTTGTTGAGTCCTTGTACATCAGAACACTCGGTATTATTGTCCCAGCCATAATGAAATTAAATAATTGACTTTGATGTCTTAAAGAAAAACAACACACACACACACACACACACACACACACACACACACACACACATATGCTTCACTGGAAATACTGAGATCCGCCACCCCCCACCCCCCATACATTTTACTATGACTGCTTCAATGTGTTACCAAACTCAAGGGCTTTGGGCTTGGGTACTCTATTCGAGAACCAGGTGTCCTCGTCCTTCGGTAGTTCTGTATGTTTGCAGCAAGTAATGGAAACAGAGCTTTCCCGTCCAAAGCTGTCTCTTGGGAGGCTTAGCTACTGCTTACACGGCACTTGCTTAATTACATGTTGATTTCTTCTTTGCAGTTGGCTTTGCTTCTTAGGTTGGGTTCCTGGGTTCAGGTCAAGCTTATCCTGTTACAGTTGCTTTGTAGCAAGAATTTTAACATGTAGCAAGAATCACATTTAGGCCCGACAGGCACGGTTCAGGGGTCCAGCGTTGACCCATGAACAAGGGGTCACGGGGAGGACATAGGATTGATCACTGCCCTTCCTACCTCTTGTCAGGGCACATGCCCGGTTTCCAGGCTTCATCCCCAGTAGGAGGAGTGCAGGAGGCAGCAAATGTTTCTCTCTCTATCCCTCTCCCTTGTTCTTTCTAAAGATCAATAAAAACATATACTTTAAAAAATAGACTTAAAAAAATAGCATTTAAGAAAAACTTCTCGGACTTGGAGACCCTAGTCCTATCAAATAAATGGAAACTCTTAGAAATCAATATCCAATGATCTTCCCCTTCATTATTAATGCAAAGATGGTAAAAAAAATAATAATAATTTATCATTCTTAAGCAGGAAATTTAAAACAAAGCAAAAAGAATTTCAATGGCAAAGATATAAAAGATGAAAGGTAACCCACAAGGTTCTCAGACTTGAGCCAGAAGTCTCAGTGACAAAAACAGAACTAATAATTTTAATGCAGATGCATGCCTTGGAGAAACTTTGATATGGCAAAGATCTAGTGCATGTCAGTTATCCGACTGTGTTCTTCTAGATAAAATTTAAATTAATACCAGCATAAAAAAGGGTTGCATATTTTGTGAATATAGATATCAGTTGTTCAGTGCTCACATATCCTAAAATAAGACTGCTTTACTCCAAATAAGAATGAAGAATAGTATGAAGAGTTGAGCAAGTCTCTTTTGAGTTAATAGAGTCACTAGAAGTTCCCCAAAGCCCAAAATTAAATCCCCATAGAATATAACACTGGAGTCTTTCTCTTGATATAGTATAGTCTTGCCAACTACATGAAAATATACTCTATATAAAAATTTAAATTTTGGCCCTGGCCAGGTAGCTCAGTTGGTTAGAGCATCGTGCCAATACACCAAGGATGTAGGTCTGATCTCTATTCAGGGCACAAACAAGAAGCAATCTATGAATGCATAAATAAGTGAACTCCCCCCCCCCCCACTTCCTCTCTCACTGTCTCAAAATAATCAATCAATACATTTAAAGTTTTAACTTTCAAATGTACTAAATCAAGTGTGGGTCTACACTCCTTTAACTTTGCAAGGCAAGGTTATCATCTCAAATGATACAACCTTAAAATACTGAGAGAGTTCTAGAGAACTTATGCTCACACCAGAGCTTTCTAGCTAATCTGTGTGTCTCATGGGCCTCAGAAATCAGCGTACCACTTTAGACAGCTCCTGTTTCCCCTCCCTTTTCAAACACATTGGTCCGTTTTTACTATGCGTGGGGCAATAATAAATGTGGCACATCCAACCAGGTCTCAATCTACATTTCCACTTTGGAAACAACTGCTTTTCAGTTGAGACAGATTTTCAGAGGCCATATCATATACGAAAGAAAAATGCAGAACATTAGGGATTTTAAAAATATGTATCCATTGCCCCAGCTGGTGTGGCTCAGTGCACTGGTTGGGTGTCATCCTGTGCACTGAAAGGTTGCCAGTTCATTTCCCAGGGAGCATGCAGGAGGCAGCCGATTCATGTTCTGCTCTCACGCGGATATTTCTATCCCTTCCTTCATCTAAAAATCAATAAAAATATTTTTAAAGCCAAAACCGGTTTGGCTCAGTGAATAGAGCATCGGTCTGCGAACTGAAAAGTCCCAGGTTCGATTCCCGTCAAGGCATATACATTGGTTGCGGGCACATCCCCAGTGGGTGATGTGCAGGAGGCAGCTGGTGGATGATTCTCTAACTATCCCTTCTTTGTAAAAAACAAAATCAATAAAATATATTTTAAAATATTTTTTAAAATATGTATTTAACCTTTTTTTTTTTTTTTTTAAGAAAGGATGTGAGAAATTGTACAGTTAAACCATTCTTAGTTATGGGTAATTTTATTCTCTAAAAGATGATTGGCCATGTGCAGACATTTTTGGTTGTTACAATTGTTTCGAAGGTGCTACTACTGGCATCTAGTGGGTAAAGGCCGGAGATACTGCTAAAGATTGCACCACATTGCTATAACCATTTACCACAGATTGGGTAGCTTATAAATAATAAATTTCTCACAGTCCTGGAGGCTGAAGTCTGAGATGATGGTGCTAGCATGGTTGAATTCAAGTGCGAGCCCTCTGGGGTTGCAGACTGACTTTCTGTATCCTCACAGGGTGGAGAGGGCATGAGAGCTTTCTGGGATGCCTATTACAAGGGCACTGATTCAGGAGGGCTCCAACCTCATGATGTAATCACACTCAAAGGCCCCACCTCCTAACATCATTACATTAGGAAGTGCGGTTCCACAAAGTTGTTGGGGGCACATTCAGTCCACAGCAGTTGGAAATAACTGTGGGGTTTTTTCTTCTCTAAGAACTTTGTCTTTTATCTTGAAGTGGGGACATTTATCTCTATTGCTTCTTAAAATGTTTTCTGCACTCCTAACTTGTCTCTTAACTCATTATCTGGATATCCTCACTACACATACCCTCCATATTTTTTCTTTTATATTTTCAATCTTTTTCTGATGCTTTCTGGAAGTCCTCCGTTTTACTTTTAAATCACTTATTTTAATTGGGTATCTATAGCCAATTGCACAATCCTATCTCGAGGGACAAACATGAAAAATGGCCAGTTTTGCTTAATGTATGGAGTATCGGCCTGCAGATTCAGGGGTCCCAGGCTCGATTTCAGTCAAGGGCATGTACCTTGGTTGCGGACACATCCCCAGTAGGTGTGCAGGAGGCAGCTGATCAATGTCTCTCTCTCATCAATATTTTTAACTCTCCCCCTCTCCCTTCCTCTCTGTAAAAAAATCAATATATATATTTTTTAAAAGCAGGATTGTAACAGTTCAAGAAGAAATAGTGGGCATAAAGGGCGAGGGAGGATGAAATGAGTAGAGATAACTGTTCTCAAGAAATTTTTGCCATAAAAGGAGCAAAAATAAAATGGAAGGGGTCTGGGAGGGTTTTAAAATGTGAGATTAAGAAGGGGAGGTGTGTTTGCAAATGGAAACAAGCCAAAAGAGCTAAATCGACTCAGGAGGGTAGATGTAATAGTGGGAAAGGTAGAGATGGTTCATGATATAATGGTTTCAACCATAGGCCAAGTTCCTTTGCTGGGTCATGAAATCAATTTGGTGGATCAGTTTCTCAATTAGTATTTTAAATCCTTGCTACACATTAGAAATTTGTAAGAGAGAAAAATGTATTCACAAACACAAAAGCCTGTTTAAACATTTTATAGATGAATTTCAAACAGACACTGTAACTTTACCTCTTACATTTTGAACTAGTTGAAAATAAAAGGGAGTTAAAAAAATAAAAAGTGCATGGCATAGATAAACTCAGGGGATTCCCTATATCTCACCAGGATAAAGTTTGATTTGAATAAACTGTTCTTAATTTTAGAATAATGAATAAAATATAACTAAATAATGAATAAAAATAATGCTAAAACTCTTGAAAAAACTATTTATAAGAAAGAGAAAATAAATTGACTGGAATATTTATTGGAAAATCTATGTCAAGCTCCATAATTTAAAATTATTTAAAACAAGTTAAAAACATCTATCAATATAAAAAGTCAGAACATTCAGTATTTTAAGCTAAAACTAACTTTAGAAAATTGTATCAAGGTTATAAAAAAACAATTATAGCAAGCTATACATTTTTAAATATAGAAAACAGTAAAAATATAATAAGTCTAACAAAATATGTCTTTCTGTTGCTTTGGGGGGAAAGGTGGTAACAAATATTTTTATTTTATTTACATATATTTATTAAAAGATTTTCCATTTGACGTTGCCAATAGTCCCATTTCTCTTGTCTTTTAATGCAATACCTGAACTCACACAAGAAGATAGAATATATAAAATTACAAAGATGATGGTAAAGTTACACCCAAATTACACACTGAATTATTGCAAAGAGCATAACTCACACACGTAAGGCATACTAGTTTTAAAAAAAGAGCAATGCCCACCTCCAGGTACACACAAATGCACACACACAAACTCCACTTTATTAGAGGAGGAAACAAAATGGATCATAAGTAATTAGCCTTTCATTTCCTATGTTAGTTTATAAGCTCTTTTCAGTCATAATGAAAATCTACTAGAGAACAGGATTTTCTTCAAATGTGAATGGTTCAAACACGATTAGTTTTTGTATCCAATATTCTATTTTGTACTACTGTTTTTTTTTATTAATATGTGCATATAATTTATATTCTTTAAAATTAAAATTTTGAAAATTGTAAAATGCTGTTTTCTACTTATTGTGCATAGTTCAATGTTTACATACTATTCTGGAAGACTGATTAAATGACAACATACAGGTTTAGAAAAAAAATATGATATCATCAAATGTATGTATACTAAAATTTTAGCAAAATGTTTTACTCTATTTACCCTATATACTACAATATTATATTCTGAACTTTTATATTGACACAGTGAGGAATTTTATTAACTGGAAAAAAAGCCCCAAATTTCTGCTCTGTGGTTTGACAAAATTTTAAATACCACTTTTATTTTG